TGTTCATTATTTTGAATATACAGAATACATATAATATATTCAAAATGAATGACTTTTTGTTTTATTCCCAAAAGTATAAAATATCTTTTTAGACGAAAAAGTGTACAAGCATGTTATTAGAAAACAGAGGTCTCTGCTAAAGCGAATATCTACCACAGTACTGCTAGTACTAGTTGTCGTTTTGAATAATGGTGGCGTTACCACCGTATGCATTGCTACGCGCCCGCGAACTCCAATGATGCATTTGGCGATTGGCGATTTTCAGCTGTCAATCAAATATAATCACAAGGATTTTTCACGTGGAGTTAGAAATGTCTGATACTAGCATGGAGGACCTGACGGAGGACGATTATAGTCAAGACAGTCAAGAAATAGAAYGCATTGGGATAAAACTTCCCGATACACAAGAAASTCAAATTTGGGATGACCCCAACACGGTAAGTTTTTTTTTTGCAGTTGAAAGAATTCAAGCAATTCCCGTTTATAGTTTCCCGCTCTTGTCAGAAGAAAACGTAAACAAACTTTTGCACTTTTCCTTCAGACAAAATCTGGAAAAGCTGTGGGAGAGCAATACGCTCCATTTGAATTACCGTACAGGTTTACATTCGACACTATCCTGTCTTGTATTCATGATTACACTGCACGCCATGTGGCAGTGGGAAAGAAAGATAGAATCAAAGTTGATAAACTATATTACAAACTTGCTGGMAAATCCAAGACATTGGTTCCGTTTCGTAGCGACCACGACGTACCAGYAATGCTAAGAGAGTATCCTATGAGAACAAACACTGGGAGAAGAAAGAAGGYGACCATTTACATGGCACTCGATTGGTCCTGGAATGATGGTAGGTTTGCTTAAAATTCCCCTATACCGCCTTTCTTTAATCTAACTAATGGTATTTTCCTGACGATAAGCTTATGGAACCATTCCCACCTCTAGCGTATTTTGTATGTGTAAGGATTTAGTTCATATAAGTAGTGAGAAAACAAAAAATATATAAAAATAAGTACTAGTTTCTTACATCTTCGATATACAAATATAATTAGGGGACTGTTTGTTATTTGTTGCCAGSAGGGAACCTTTTTTAGAAAGGGGGGTACATTTAACAAAACAGACAGCTGAGATGGAAGTTCTTTTCAACAGGGGAGTTAATTCTTAGCTTCAATCAATTGAATTTCCACATTTTACGATTTCTAATATAACCTGTATGAAATTGGGAGATATTTTCTGTCGTTTAATATGTAGTCATGTCAATTATTTCTTCAATCCTCCCTTTATTAGAAATCAAGGAGGTAGTTGCCAAGTAAAATYGACACAAGAGTTCCCTCGCAGATCTCCCCGCCTTCAGCAACAATCCCCAAAAGAAGACATTGATGTGTTTGTATTCAAAGCAATTCAAGGAAGAAGTGGAAAAAAGGTGTCTCAAGCTAGTGTTGTCATACGTGGATTAACAACCAAAGATTCCCTTGGAAATGTTGTTGAGCGCATTAAAAATGTTGATCCAACATCTTSAGAAGTGTTTGTGCCCTCTAAAGGCCTTTATTGGTTAAGAAAAGGCAATAAACAGATGGTTAGTCTAAAATCAGAARAGGATTGGAAAAGCTGCCTTGAGGAGTATAAAGATGCAAAGAACAAAGTCAAAGCTGTCAGAATTGCTTGTTTTACTGACTGTACTTCAGGAATCTCAGGAGGTAAATTTGATTATTCTAGTATCTAGAGTCCTAAAATGCAATAACATGAATTTATACTTGATAAATCATTATTCATTTTTCAAGTACTAAAGCATTCCTACTGATTAGGGGAAGAGAAAMTAATGCATTACCAATCAGATTAATTCTCTTATTGTCTTTTAAGGCAGAAAATCTCATGAAAAAGTAATTTTATAAATTATTTTATTGATGATTATTTTTAGGAAAAAATAGTTCCACAGGTTCAAAGCGGTCTTTGGATTTTACCAGCCAGAATGACACATAGAATGAGACACATGTTTCTCTTGTAAGGGATCTGGAAAAGAAGGGCATTGGTGGAAGATATGGAACAAAGCATCTCAAACTTTGGACAGATCTAATAATAAGTGGAGAATCTGCAGGAGTGGGAGATGAGAACTTCATAGATCAAATTGGGGTGCCTCCCAGAACTGCAAGAGAAAGAACCAGTCCAGTACAACCAACATCCAACTCGCTAGGATCTRATGACCTCCTCAAAGCATTATTATTGCAGAATGAGYGTAGATGTGAAATGGAATTAAAACGGACTGAGGCATTTCAGAATTCTCTCCTTACAATAATGGCTTTAAATTCACCACATGCTCCCCCAAGACAAGTAAACTATACATAATGGTTGCAATCTTTAATTTTAATATGATAAAAATGTTAASAAAACATTGTTCTTAATTGATAACTAAGTAATTGATCATATCTGTCATGCCAACATCATTGACTGAATACAAAATGTGGCAAAATGATAAATTACTTTGAGCTCAAAAGTGCATCACCAACTAGTATGTCTCATGCAGTTAATGCCTATCCATCCCAGCCAAAGCTCTGTCTAAATATTCCTTTATGATTATGCAGTTCTAAACAATCATAGTATATAGGCTGAAAGAAGACTCTAGTGATATGATGAYAAATGTTGCTATAAAACATTGAAAACTAACATGCACATATTTTAGCTTGGTATATTTCATAAGAAGGAGGTGGTTACCTACAGCCTTCAGGACTGCTGTGACTTTTTGAAAAGGTCAAATCTGATCCACCTGGAAAACATCTTTGTCAGGGCTGAAGTAAATGGGTCACTCCTAKTCAGTATGACAAATCCGCATATCAGTGGCACCATTTTAAAGGGTTTGGGAATTTTGAGCTACAGTGACCAGCAACATCTTATTGAGGCAATCAGAAAAGAAATATCTCTTTCAAGTTCAAGCACCACTGCTAGCCTGAGCTTCACAGAATAGATGGCAAACATCGCAACCTGTTTAGACATGTTAATGTTATTGAAGTGYTTCATTGTATTTCCTCAATTTAAAAATCAATGTAAACAATTCCTGACATTCTATTTGAAGGCTGTATTAGGTTTGTATACAGAGATTGATGTTACAAAATGTTAGTGCTGTTTTTACTATTTCATTTTTGAGATGGGGTTTCTTGATTTGATCAGTTTTTCAATATTAATATTTATAAGTCTTTTTTATTCAGTAGACATTTTACCTTTTTTTCATGGATATGGTTGGTTAAACTTGAGGTACAACTTTGATGTGTAGGATTTTTGTTGGCCCTGACTATATTTTTCAATTCCCTGACTCAAAAAGAATGGTTTGCCTCTTCAATTGTTTGGACAACAACACTACACGACTTATATATGATAATTGTGTATTTTGCACAATAGTTTTGGCATCAGCCTTGGTTGAGTTTTTTTTAATCAAGTTACTTATTTGGTACATGTAATTACATAATTAGTACTAGTTGCTAGTACACAACATTCCCAACAACATCCATGCATTGCCCAATTAGCATCTTGCTGTAAGTTTTCAAGCAAAGTAGCCACAGTCATCAAAGAATCCAGTGCTCTTTGTTGCTGCTACCTTAAATAAAAAGAATTCATTTGCTTTTATGTATTGGCAAATTGTAAAAAAAAACTTTTATTTTGTGTATACACCTACTTGCGAAAACGTCGTCATAAAAAAATAGGAGATTTGTATTTAGTAAAAAGGAATAAATTAAAAAAGGCAAAAGAAGATCACTGAGGCTGAACTCTTTCTTTTGTCTTGTTTCAATTAATTCCTTTTTACTAAATTMAAATGTTCTATTTTCTATGACAACGTTTCTGCAAGTAGGTGTATGTGAATTTCTCAAATTGTAGGTTTAGTTAATTTCAAAAGGCTATACCTTCCCTAGTGCAATCTCAAAGCAGCGTTTTGGGTATGTTGTGCATATGTCTTCATTCCTTTGCAACCACTTTTTTGAAAAATTGAAACAGTCTTCTATTGGATTTAGATCGGGTGAGTAGGGACTGGAAGGAAAGAAGTGATTTATGAAGTTAAAAGAAATGTTTGGTAGAAGCAGATTTTAACACAGCCTGAATATACTTACGGTAAAAATATAACTATGCCACCTTTGTTACGAACAGCATTTATCATGTCATCAGAGTAGTGAATATTACAGTTATCCATTACAAGGACTGAGTTAGGTTCTTGCCTGGCAGCAGATCCAATCATTGGTAGAATGAAGTGTTCCATGGCAAACTCAAACTCAAACTCAAACAGGTTSATAACTGATTCATTTAAGGTAGGTGTGGTCACGTGACCCCCAGCTGCAAAAGGCCTATTGTTGGTATTGTTGTCAGTTAGTCATTAATTAAAGTAACACTTCATTTGGACCAAAAATGATGGATTTTAAATACTAAGGTATAGAGGAAACGGATTCTAGATGATAAAGATGTTTGATTTTGCGAAACCAGAGCATTTCAATAAAGAAATATCGTATTAAAATCTTGGAGAACTATTAGATTGAGTTAATGACATCATTTACTCCAAATGTATATGATCATTACCATATGATTATTACACTTATTCTCAGCAGTACATATTATACAARTAATCCAAAAATCCTTGTCTGGACCTTAAATAGGAAGCTTACAATCGCAAAGCACAGTGGGACTTGCTATTCTTTTAATTAGTCGATTTGCAAGCGATTTTTAAACCAGTTATCTATGACTACGATTTTTGGATAAGGTGTATATAGACACTAGCAGTATAAGATATTTCCTTGTAGTTGCCCAAAGATTAAAGTGCACATCACCCCTAGAACGATAAAATTGGGATAATCTGTAGGATCCTAGTATTCATTATCCGTTGTCAGAATACATTTTGACCTTCAAGAACAGAATGCGAAGGCATGAAGTTTATTTGCAGCAAAAAATATGCAGCTGTTTCTTGTGATTGTGGTGTCTTTACTCCAAATTCACTCGATTTCATTTTGAAGATACATAACCTTCGTGATGTAAAAATGGCTTTGCGACAAGAGCAAAAATGGCTGGAGAGACACATAGATGTGCCAAATGAAAAATGCTCCTTTTCCAAAAGTGTTCTTGATTCTTACGCCGCAAAACTATTTAACACTCCAAACAACCATTGTGTTCTAGAACATGGAAATGGCTGGCTATCCTATAGTATAATCCATGGTATTGCTGAAATAATAAATAAGGAAAGCTGCATTTATGTTGAACAATATAGCAATGACAGATGAGAATTCCATTTCTGAATATGTGAAGACTAAYATAGAAAAAGCCACGYAATACCTTCTGTTCTTTTCAAATGTCGGGAAGTCAGAGTCTGGCGATGTTTTTATTGCAACACCCTGTAATCCAGGTTGCCATCGGACRTTACTCGTGGTAGATCTTGAAAAGAACAAATGGATGTACTGTGACACTAGCTGCTGGTCAATGCCTGCAAATCTAAGAACACTASTAAATCCTTTTGTGACTTCTATCCTAGTTGAAGTACAGAAAACGAAAGCGCATACWAATCTTCCAACTGCTATAGAAGAAGCACACGTAAGTGGCAGGAGTTGTCGTCACATCTGTCGCAAACAGTGCTACAAAAACATTCCTCTTCAAACGTGTAGCAATGTGTGCKGCATCATCATTATCATTATAGGCGGTATTATTTCTTATGCACCCGATCTTTGGGAAAATGCTWTTACTAAGCGAAAAGCCACCTTACCAAGACATTTGAGCTGGATAATCAATCCATCTGATAACTCAGATTTCTTGAGAATAACAGTAATCTCATGGCTACTTAAAGGTTGCATCGACACGTCACTGATTGGAATTGAGCGAAAAAAGTATCTAGCAGCCCCAAAATGTGCTAAACCAGTTACTTGCCGATCTCGAAAGGTTGTGAATGTCGATCTAACTTGCGATGTAGAGTTAGTAAAAACCCACACCAATGACATCAGCAAAAGTGAAGTCACAGAAGGCAATGGTCCTCACGACGATGCTCCCACCAATGACGTCAGCAAAAGTGAAGTCACAGAAGGCAATGGTCCTCACGACGACGCTCCCACCAATGATGTCAGCAAAAGTGAAGTCGCAGAAGGCAATGGTCCTCACGACAACGCTCACAAAACAAGAATGCCCTTTTGTTGTTTATTTGAATTTGTCTGTCGATGGGCAACACCTCAGGGTCAAAAATATTAACGAGAGCCACAACCACATCCTCAGCAAGGAAGTTTATGACCAACTTCCTCGACAAAGGGCATAAAGGGTAAAGAAGAATGTGGAAGAGATGGAGGCAGCACTGAAACTAAAAGCTAATACTAAACTCCTACAACAAAACATTGAAAAAACAACAGGACAAAAAATAACACTGAAGGACATTGCTAACATGAAACAAAACCTTAAGAAAGAAGTTGACAGAAACAGTATTGAAAGCGTTGTAGATTACTTAAATAAACAACCTGGATCAACCACAGAGGTTATAGTTGACGAAGATAACAATTTCAAAGGTGTATTCTACGAGGACAAATACATGCAGAATCTATAAGCATGATAATCAAAACTTGACACTTGGAAACGGCGATCGAAAACGAAGAATTGTTGATGATGTTTTGGAATCAGACAGCAAAAGAGGAGCAGCCTTCATWAGTAAACAACAAGGTAAAGAAACCCAACATCTTGATGATCCAGACTTTGAAGTCCCTCCAAGTCTTCCAACCATCAAAATGCCACCAAAGACATTGAAAAGAGGTATGCTTTGCCACAACCTATAAACTTTAATTTACCAATCGAGATATATCCTTGCAAAATTTTCAAGCATTTGATCTASTAATGACAGTCAATCTCGACCGCGACAAAATAAAAATATTCTTTATGCCATTTAATAAATGAGAAATTATGCTACTGATAAATAAATGGTGATGATAAATGGAGTGGTCCAAAACCTATTGGGTATTGTGTGAGAGTTTTGTACTTAGAGAATAGTAAACTCATATATTCTGCCTGAGATATCCTGATCACTACGTAATATTGTATTTTCTTGCTTGGTAAAACGGTGTTATGGTAATGAAATCCTTATATCATAGGTCGTCCCAAAGGAGCCGAACTAACAGTGATTGGTTYGCCTAAAAGCAAGAAGACAAAGGAAAAGRGAGAAAACATTAGGCCGTTTTCTAAATTACCAGGAAAGGAAAAAGAGACACTGATTCTTAGGTGGCTGGCTGGCAATCTTGCCGTTGACGAGGCCATGTCCGGAAAAAGAATCCTTAAAGGTAGTGATTTAAGGATGCTCCATGAGACACCCRACTCCATACGAGATGAGGAATACCTGGACATCTACCGTGTGCAGAAATATTTTGACAAGGAGGCCTGACATGACGTCCTCTCTATTGTTGAGAAGAAAAAGGGCATTGGATGGATCTGTGGTGTTTGAAAACACATCATTTATGATTTTAAAGAAGACAGCATAGGCTGTGGTAGATGCTTATCATGGTTCCATTTTGCATGCATCAACATAAGCAACAAACCCAAAAAGCGACGGTGGTTTTGAAAATCTTGCAAACTGAAGTTTGACTAATTGTGTTGAGCATGGTKTTATGATAAAGTAAAGCATGATGGGAAATTGCAGATTCTCTAAGAATAGTCTAGCTAGAAATGGCACATCATTTCACCTATTTCTTCCTTCATATAGTATATGTTAATGAGATCAAAAAATCTATATTTTTAACTTAATGCTTGTACTTATCATCATGCTTTACTATGTAAAATAATGCTCGTTCTCATTGAATTGGTAATTGCAACATGTTACTAACTTATTTGTGCTAATTTTCACGWGGGTTGAGCTGCATTCTTTTTCAAGTAAAAATTATGATTTTTATAACGCCTATCGCAAAAATCTATGCTCGCGAAATATTTGCATTCCAAACTCTCGAAAATCAGTACGAATAATAAGGTACCATTTCAGCATCAGGATTAGTTAGGTAGTATAGTAAGCCACTCCTGGCCTCTCCTTCRCAACGGGCTCTCTCAAAAACCCGGGAGGCCAGTTGCAGACTAATCTCAAAACATGATATCAACAAAAAAGTGGAGAGCATATATAATCTAGAGGCCAGTTGCGGACTTATCTCAAAATATGATATCAACAAAAAAGTGGAGAGCATATATAATCTAGTAGCCTTTTTACCATAAAAATATAGCAATTGAGCTGACTTTCTAGTAGCATAACGGGTGGGATTGAAGCGGCCTCACCAACCCGTTATGGCAGGTCACAATTTTGCATCTCAACTAGCAAAATGTATACATCCTTTTATATGCAAATGTTATTTGAAATATGCGGCATATAACAAGCAAGCTTACGTTTTTACGACCTACCGTAGCAGCGGTTGTTTTATGACTGAAAAGTTTGGACTGCCTATCATTTAGTCCATTCAAGACCGTGACGGGCAGTAACGTAATGGCATGGCTGTTGGTTTGTGTACATATCGACTTCTTTTAGCTCACAATAAGCGCTTGATATCTCTATTTTAACTATAATAACAGTTCAATTAACCGTTTGAAAGAGT